GGGGGGGGGGGGAGTCCAGCTTTTCCAATGTGGATAGTGTAAATTAATGTAGGAATCAGGAATTATTCAGAATATTTGTAGATGATTTTAAATCATTATATTTATTTATATTAACTTTCATCTTTTCTCCAAGTTAAATTCTATTATTTTTGAATTAGACAAGTTTGTAATTCATAGTACGGTACATCTTTTTATAAGACAAATGTGAATGGATATCAATTTGTTTGTTGTGGTAATGTCACTGAGAAGTGAATTACATTCATTACCAGAGAAGCATATTTATAACAGTAGGCCTGGCCTGTTTTAAAGATAGTGTTTGGTTATTTTCAGAAAGTTAGTTAGCTTATCACTACATTTATGGAGATGGTGAAAGAATGGCACATACAGACTGAAAGAGAATTTGACAGTCAAAAAGTAATAAATACATCATATGTATTTGATACATTAGAGCTAATGAATATTTAGTTGATGCAATACTTAAAAATTTATACTCAGAACTTGAATCTCTGCTTGATGAAAAACATGTTTGATTGACGTAAACATAGCATTTAGTATACTGAAAAAAATATTTTTTTTTGAAAAAGTCACATTGTAAATAGAAGCAGTGGTCGAGGCATAGCTTCTTTTTTTTTAATGCATGTTGCAGTAGAGATGGCAAAGCTTGATTATCCACTGTAAGGTTGACTCTTGGTCAGCATATTTGTACTTGTACACACTGCATTCATTCCATGGCCAAGTGATTATGCCTGGGTAAACAAATTACCCATAGTAACCAGAATTGTGGTGTTCATGACTGAAAAAAAATTATGAGCAATACGTGACAAGTGGAAATAAAATATTATCCAAATGAATGGCTGATATTACATTTGTAATTTGGAGCTTTTGAGGGTAATTTGTGATTTTTTTTATTGAGATCGCATGACTGCAGGTTGACAATAGAGAGTGGTATTGTAGGCATAGAGATCAGTTAATTCACTGACAATAGCTATTGATTCTATACAAAAAGTCAGCATGCGCCAGGAGTATTAGAGTTGTGTTCACAACATGACCTTACAAGCATTTGTTCTTCTGGATCTCATCCAAATAAAATTGTGTATTGTGTAAGTGTTAGTATGAATAGCTGCTCTCTCGCCTTTCTTCCTCCAGTATTTAATAGCTATATAAGATGGGTGATAAATTAGATGTTAATCATGTTTCCTTGCATTAAAAATTCACCTGTCTAAAACACTACCTCAAGAGTGAAACTCCACTCTCAGCAACTACAGTACAGTAAATTAAAATTATACAGGTAGACCTGTCTGAAAGTGTCAAAAGTAGCCATGCATTTTCTTCTTTCCTTATGCCAGTCAATGACACAAGTGAATCTTCAACATTCATTTACTGCTCAATTTATCTTGACTATAAATAAAAAAAAATACCCTATACTTAGATTCAGGTAATTGTCATTGTGATGCAAAAGCCACTAAAATATAAATTCCATATCCAATTTGAATATTTTTACCCAGCTTGGTACATAATTCTGATACAGACTAGTAAAAATAAATGCCAGGATCTGCTTTACATCAAATCTATATTAAGTTCAGGATAGTACTTTAGCCTAGAATGTCACAAATTCTTTTTGTTTATTTACAGTATGTTAGTTGTATTAAACTTAAAAGGTATTTACAACAGTTGACAGCTTTGTACCCCTCCATACTGCTGAAATATGTAGCATACAATGTACATCATCAGAAACTACCAGAAAAAAACAAATCCTACAGAGAATAATGATATCCACATTTGTTGGATAGAAATACAGCAATATCATGAAAGCTCAAAATCTCTTTTTCCCCAGAGTTTATAATAATAATTTATTACTTGTATGTACATCTGTGGTTTGAATAAAATTGACATTTGGCTAGTAAGCAGTGTTTCCGGGGGAAGATAATTGATTGAATTGTATACCACATGACTGTGGTTATTGGGTTATATGTACTGATTGAAAAGTCTGTATAGACTTCATGTGCAGGTCAGATGATGTCCATCTTCATATATACAGATGGCTTAGCCTGTTTGTTTGTGATAGATAGATGATGTGCATGATAGGAATATCTATGGTATGTTTATTTTACATAGGAAAGGGCTGGGTGTGTAAGAGCTGAGGAGGAAATATTCGCTGGGTTCAATTTTAGCTGATTTGATTGTGCTACCATTTTCTCATTTTTTTGCATGCAAATCCAAAATTTTATTTGCGTACTGAATCATTAAAATATTACTATTCTGACTTTAGAAACACCTTTATTTCAAGTAAGCACATGCAGTACTAATAAAACAAATACTGTATATAAGATTACTTGCTGAAAATTCACCCAGGCTAGTGTCAAAATTAAGGTTCTGTGCAAATGTTGTAAGTATGGGCAGCAGAATTCATAATTACATAGTCACTACATGGTCACATTAAGCAGTAATTCTGTTGTCCTATAAACCCTTTTCCATGGATGAGTTATTTTTTGATTTGTATGCCATCCCAGATGTCTATTCTCATTGTGTATGCTAAGAGTGGATAAAAGCTTATACCTACTAAGACAGATACTGACCATGATATGACATTATCTATTTGACAATGTGCGCAGTCTCGTTTATAGTTAACTTAGAAGGAAAGAGGGAGAGAGGGTAATTTCGGTGTTTAGTATTAACATGTCTCCAGTACATGATCTAAACTGACCTGCTCTACATGACTTCTATATACATTACTGCATTGGAATGCCAAAGACATAACACCTTAAATATAATGCTAGTGTTACACTTTAATGGTATTCACCAAGGTTAACAATATCTGCCAGCCTATTTTTTGGCAGTCTGCATTTGGATGTAGCCATTACGAAAAATATAGGACACTAGCAAATAAAAAATATTTGAAATGTTTGAATATGTCAATTTTACACAACCTGTGTTTTACATTACTAGTAACTCGTTACCAGTAAATGTGTGTACAGTGTATTAAAGAAGTAAAGGCTGCTCTGTTAAAAGCTTTGTGTTAAACTAAGATGTAGTTAAATGAAGGAACAAAACCTATCAAATCTCCCCACAGCAGCCAAGTGAAATTTAATGTTCTAAAATACACTATGTGATATTGGTTTAATTTTTGGCTATTGGGCACCACTCCAACACTAATAATATTGCTGTTAAATTGCGCAATAATGACACATTAGCACATACTAAGTTAATGTTTATTTTGACTGTTATTAAATTAGGCTCTATGTATTCCTAGGTGTTTGCTGAATTAACATGCAGAATCTAGTTGGCATTCACTTCTCGCACATATACGTACATATTAGATTTTATTCCAGAACTACACCCACCTTTTTATACATGTATGATCATGTATTTATTATAGATTTCCAAAGACATTAATCAAGGTTCCCTGGCTATTACAGACAAATGTGTTGAATGGAATTATCATTTTATAAAATCAGTCGTTTGTAGCATTTCATTTTGTTCGTTGAAGCGTTCCTGATGTTACTTCATGGTCATCATAGTTAGAAAAAACTTTACTAGCCAGAAAAAATAAATAAGTAAAATTTGTGTCCCAAATATATTTTATTTTGCACCCCCCCCCACCAATATTTGAATATTTGTTTACATGCATTTTAAAAATAGAAATAGTGATGGAATTATATTTATAATTTAAAATATAACTACTTAGGTTAGTTTACTTGAACTTGACAGGAAGTCATCAGTGATTTATGGCTTGTATAGAAAAGACTAAATTTATTGCACGTACTTTGACCTTATTTTCTATGTCTTCATCAAGCAATGTGAAACTCCATTATTAAAAAAAAAATGCGCAGAAATGATCATTTCCAATTTGATTGTACTCATGCAGACCTAATTTCCAACTTGCCTGAAATAAGAATGAAAGTAAAGATTATAAATTGATCAAATTGCTTCAGAATGGCAGAAGAGCTCCATGGAAAAAGCGAGCAACCAATGCTGCAAACTCAATTGACCATGTGACCACTTCTTTCATCATGGCCATGATACAGCATGGTTTTTCTATGTGTAATTTGACCTATGACCTGCCTTTGCACATGTCAAAGTATATTGCTTCAATGCAGTCCACTGAAAAATTGTCCAGTGAGCTTGACGACCAAGTTGAGTTGCATGACAGTTCGCAAATGTATTATCGACACACTGTAATGTAAAGGCTGTCGTATATTTGTGTCAAAGAAAAAAAGTGATTTTGTTAGTGTACATTTTTGTGTTTTCCCAACAGACTTCAAATAAAAATAGACCTGAAACTATGCATTATGTGATGCGTGTTAGCTAGGTCATTCTAACAAAGCTCAAATTGCATGAATAAATATATTTTATATTATATGAAATGATCTGTTTGGTACAAAATTTTGACTTTTTTTTTTCTTTTTACACCAGTACATTCATTTCCTTGTTAAAATAGCCAGGATGATGAGAACCCTGTAACCCAACCCCCCCCTCTCTCGCTTGAGGCTGAGAGGGAGATGCTAGCTTTTACCACAAAGCAATTGAATTACAGAACTCGTTGGCACTTACTAGTGAAGATGAAAGTCCCTCAGACTTGCCTGCTGGTTTACATGCATTTTATTTGCATATGCGCTTATTCAAATGATAGATTTATTTATGGTCAAAACAAGTAAAAATAATTTTTGGATTACTATAAATACATTATTCATCACACATACATTATAAATACGTTATTTTCAATTTCAGTATTTACATTAATTGGTAAAACCTGCCAAATAAATTCCTGTGAACATGTCACATTAGAACTTATTGTTTACTGGTAAAGTTGAAACCCAATAAATTAAAAGAACATCAAAATTAATAGTGAAACTAAATGGAGATGTACTTCTTATGGAAAAAATGCATGTATAAAAATTGCTTTTACAGGGTTAGCACATATGTTTAGCATCAATATGAAAAAATAACACTGCTTATTAATGTTATTGTGAGTGCAGTACCTGTTGGAGATGACTAAAAATTTATTCAGAAAATAGAAACATCAAATGCAACAAGCTAATCCCTATATTGTTCAGGGAGTACCACAATTCACATTGGGCTTCATATATATATATATATTTTTTTCAATTTATACAATATACACACTTGATAAAGTAGAGCTATTACAACATTGACTTGCTACTTTAAGGGCAATGATTAGTTTCATATTATCAAGTTACTATGGTTTCTTAAAACAAAACAGAAAGCTGTATCGATATTGGATTATCAGAATACCAGTTTCCTACATTATACACCGGTATTTAATTTATACCCTTGCTATCATGGGATACATGCTTTAGGCAATCAGTCTTGTTGAGTGTGATGTATGATTGGAATTCTAATGTAATGAGTCCATGGCTATTAAACATATTCATAAAACAAACTGCCATCTTAGCTAGATAGGCATGCTGTTGGCTGTATGCTTTTTTACATCATGCAAGATTTAATATGAAATCAAGCCTAAGCTTTGAATTCTTATTTAGTCTGTTTATACATTTCCTTGCGAGTGCCAAGAGCTGTATTTTAGCATTTAAATCAGTGATCAGGCTAAATAGTTATTCAACTGAAGGGTATTGTCTTTAAAAATATCTTTTGACTTTCTTGTTGGGTAACTGGTGAATATATATGATAAGGAATTGTTAATTTATGCCCTGTCTCTTTCCGATGAAACAAAGTAATTTAGAACTTTGAAGCATGTAATTTTGTTATTTTGTGACACAATTTTTCAGGTGGAACGTTTGCCCCTGCACAGAATTTAATGAAATGGTTTGCTCCCCCCTGACACATGAGCCCCTGTGATGACTTGTGCCCTCCCTGACACAAGCAGTTTTGTTTCCCTTTTTTTTGCGTTTTTTTTTAATGTTGTACCTTTTTTTGGAGGTAGTGGTTTTTTGCAAATGCCCCCCCCCCCCCAAATGGTCTCTAACCTGAACAGAATTAAAACTGATATTGAAAACAAAAATACCAAAATTTTATTTACTTTCCTACTGTTGTATATTATCGTTTTTTTGTCTTTGTCAGCAAACAAATTGTATGTCATATGATGAATATATAAACTATTATAAGTTGCTAGTTATTAATAGTTGGCAACAGAATACTGCACACACTACATGATTCTGGTCAGCAACTAGTCATAAAACTAGTCTTAAAGATTCAACATGTAGAATCCTTACAAATCAGTTGATGACTAGCAATTCACATATGTCATAGATGTCTGCATACCTAGTGATCCAGTCGTAGTCAATCAAATCGCAAAGCAGGCAGCAGGCATTTTGATGCCTAAAGTTTTAGCTTCATTGGGTAGTAAGTACTAACTTATTAATCAACGGTGCCAATGAAGTTGATGCCTAAAGTTTTAGCTTCATTGGGTAGTAAGTACTAACTTATTAATCAGCGGTGCCAATGAAGTTGATGCCTAAAGTTTTAGCTTCATTGGGTAGTAAGTACTAACTTATTAATCAACGGTGCCAATGAAGTTGATGCTTAATTTCATGTTGAGGCCATATCTGTAAAAAAATGTGAAAACAGTGATTACCTTCGGAAACAGATCAGCTTAAGATAACCTCGTTATGTATTCCAATATATTTCGATACTTTCGTAATGTATTCCTATTCCATATTGTACTTGTCCATGTTAAACATGTTTGAACATTTTGAAAATGCAGTCAGTCTTGTGTTTTGACATGTCAATTATGTAATCACATGCACTTATGTTGTATAAGCTACTAGTATTAGAGGCGCATCTCTAATAGAAACATGCATAAACGAACAATGGCATTTATTGCATAATTAGATCGTTTAAATGTAACTTATTTTGACTGTTGTCATAAAAATAAACGCTACTAATAGATCAAATACTGTATATTAAAATCACATAGCATATATAAAACACATGGGTATCAGTGGATCATAAACCCTAGGGTCTATAGTCTATTGCAGATATTGGCATGCTCCATCACTTTCTGAGGGAAACACTGTCAATTCTCTGTATTCTTGATTAATTCACTCCAAAATCTATGAAGAATTTTCTCTTAATTATTTTTGATAATTTTAATTAAATACCATGTTCATTTAAATTGATTACAGGGACATCAGAAAGGGTGGTGTTAATTACGGGTACGGTAGAGTCGCTGACGGCAGTCGGTAATTTTGTGATTGAGAAAGTTCGTGATTCACCACAGTTAGCAGCCAAAACTGGAAATGAAAGTGCAGTGAGCCAAGAAAGAGCCAGACAGGTATGTATAATCATTTATGCTAGAGATAGGTGAATATGTGCTTGTCATCATTTAATCTGACATACATTAAGATTACTTGTCCATACACTTGCCCTGTACTACTTATAGGTAAACCCCAATAGTAATTCAGTCTCAACTCCAATGCCCATTTGAGAATATATTTATCAAATCCTCTAATAGCATGTCATCGGTTAAACAAAAATGCTAGATGAATTGTAAAGACTACTTTATTTCTTTGAAAATTGCTTTGTTAAAAATTTTGTGTGCGAGATTTTTGTCTGGATGTATGTACATTGTATAAAGGTTTAGTTGTAATTGTACTGCTTTGTATCTCTACTCAATAAGACAGGTTCTTAACAAGGATATGTGAACATAATGATGCATGCTGGCCTATTGATTGAAATGTGCATCTTTTGACCTCTATAACTAGAATTGAAACTGATACTGAAGGAATCCGGAGGGAAGTTCTTGCATGTTTATATCCTTGCTTTTAAATGATGCCAAGTAATATTTAACCTTTTGAATACCTACATCACTGTCATTGATTTGTTTTGAATCGAAGGTTGTTAGAAATTTCCTGTTAAAATGAAGTCATCATTTTCAATGTTTGAATTCCCCTGGGATTCTTGTGACTTAAATTAAAACATTAATTACTTGGATTCAATGAATTAGTCTATTACCTAGTGCTAACACGTATTTCAGCTGTTCATCAGACCACAACCATATTCAATCTACCTTATGGAGCCTCTTTTAAGACATTTATTATGGATTTATTATCCAATTTATAACTAATATTTAGTACAAAGTGTCCTACGATGGTTTTAAAAAAAAAAAAAAAAAGATTTTTATTTCAAGATTTTTTAAAGAGTTCAGAGATGAAGTACATTTATTTTTTGGAAAAAAAGAAATGCAAAATTCCTAAGAGTTTAGTTAAATGTATGATCCATGCATAATTCATTGATAAAATTAACAAATTCATTCTATAATAGAATTATATGCTCTTTCACTTAGACTGTGTAAGAAATATATTTTAACTGACAGATAAGTAATTAACATGTTCACCTTGATTTGAGAGTTGCTGTAACTATTTTGTGTTTATTTCATCCCATAATAATTGTATCTGAAAATGATATCCAGCAGCATGTCATTTTGCTTAGATTGTTGTAATCTTCTTACTTATATTAGCAAGTTATTAGGAATGTCACTGCTATTTTCTTATTTAAATCCCATTATTCAGAGATTCAAAGAAAAACCTGAAGTTGTATGTAATATGACCCATTTTTAATTCTAAATTGCCACCAGAATGGGCTTCACTATTTTAGTTTCCATTGAAACAAGCTTGGGTTTTTGCTACTTAGTAGTGTAAGACCATTAATCTAAAATTCCTTATTTCATAGCTTGAAAAAGAGTTCTCCTCACAGGTGTATTTGATTAGCATGTACACCTACCTCCTATTGCAATTTATCTTTTCACAACAGTACAGGATGCCCTTATAAATATAAAGTGACTGACATAATGTAAGAGACAGCATACACATAACTGGTAATAACTAAGCTGTCTAAATATTTAATTCCAGGTGTTAGATCAGCTGCATGCAACTTCTTGATCTGTTTCTAAGGACTCAATAAATTAAGCTGAAAGGCTGTAATTTGAATTATGTTTTATACATGGTACCATTACCCTTACATTAGCATGCATTAAGTTGATATTCTGTGGGTTATTCTGCATACCTACTCTACTCAACTTATATGTGACCTAAAGTGCTTTTAATGTTGATGATAAATGTACCGTAGTAACATTTTAACTTTGCATTGTCGGGTTACAGTACAGTAGTATATACATATATTAACTATTAGCCTTATGCCCCTTGGAAAATCAGTATTGTATTTAGATTTGATGTGCATGCTAATATGGATCATTTCAACTTGGTCTACTATACTTTGGAAAACCAAGGATTGCTTCAGCTTTTTCATGAAGGAGAAAATTTTAGCCCAATCTATCAAAACCCCTTTAATTATAGGCAAATTTTATTCATGTACTGCATTAATTTACAATGTTAAAATTATTATGACTCAAAGTCGAAATCTCCACCATTATCTTCATTGTTGAATCAATGAATGTGTTTGGTCATATGCAAACACTTGATGCAAAGCTGTTTTCTTGTACAATTTGCAACATGTTTTCAAGTCTGTTATTAACCCATCAGGATGCTGTGTTATACTGACACTTTTCCCCAGAGAATTCTGGTAATTCTGGTGTGCAAGTGAATTATCAATGTTGAATTGATTTCGGCAAAATAACAGCATGATTTTTTTTTTATAAACTGGTAATCTTAAAGTGTTTACGGCTTTTCACAATTTTAAAGGGTCATTGTTGAAGTGTAGTTTATGCACATTCACATCTGTCAATATCCATGCTGTATCATATGAATTTGTTTACTTGTATTTGAAAAAGTCAAACAATGATCAAAGATGGGGTTAATGAATAGACAGTCAAATTTTAGGCATTTTGAAGGATATGTGCACTTAGCTGAACGTGACCCTAAAAATAGAAATGTCCCAAATGTGGGGGATTGGCACCTAGTTGAGTGCTAATTTGGATGAGTATGATATTTCCAGGAAGATTGTGTCCATTTGGTTGAAGAAATAGATAAATATATAAAAATGTTCAAAATGCAGCATCAACATTTTGGTGGTAAATGTTATTGTGTCAATTTAAGAGTATCCACTTATAGTTGGATGTGTCATCTATATTCACTCTTGTTTCTACTACATTTAATGGCATTGTACGTCACTGAAATAACTGAAACCATGATAATTAAGCACAGGCCTATAGCTGCTGTTGTCGTCATCAATACCATTGCACTATTTATTTTTGTGTCTTTCAGGTCAAGATAATTATTCCTAATAGTACTGCTGGACTTATTATCGGTAAAGGGGGTGCTACTATTAAAGCGTTTATGGAACAAACTGGATCCAAACTCCAAATATCACAGAAATCTGAAGGTGTGAACCTGTCTGAACGCGTCCTGACCATAAGTGGAGAAGGTGATGCAAATAAAAAAGCCATGAATGCTGTTATTTCTAAAGTTCAGGAAGACCCCCAAAGTGGAAGCTGCAATAATATTAGTTATGCTGCGGTATCTGGGCCAATTGCCAATGCCAGTCCCACTGGTTCTCCATTTGCAGAAGCTGGTGGTCTGGTAAATGTTAAACAACCACAGATGTCTTTACACACTGGCCCCACAGCTGGTATGCCTACAATGGGTGTTGGGATACCTACTCTGAGTGGGTTATCGCCTACATCAGCAGCTAGGGTTATATCAGCAGGAGCTAGCTATCCTGGAGGGGATGCAGCTGCCATTAATGCTGCAATGAATACTCTAGCTAGCTATGGCTATAATATAAATGCATTGGGAAGTATGGTTGGTTCAGGTACAAGTCATTTACTTACTACTCTTGGGTCTTCTGCTGCCGCCGCACCTCTTCCTTCCAGCATTCTAGGTCCTTACCAAGCAGCTCATGCGGCTGCTGCTGCAGCTGCTGCATCTGCATCTGCTGCCGCAGCCAATGGTGCATCTCCCCCTTTACGAAATGGCGCTGGAGCTGGGTATGAAGCAGCGACTGCAGTGAATGGCGGAACCGGTTTAACTATGCCTACAGAAGGAGCACTTCCAGCGTTTGGAGCACTTGGCTCATTTGGCAGCCTTGGTAGTCTCGCAACTTTTGGCTCAGGGACTGAATTATCAAAGGATGCTGCCAAAGATAGCACCCTTGAAATTGAAGTACCAGAGACATTAGTAGGTGCCATTCTTGGGAAAGGCGGGAAGACCCTTGTTGAATTTCAACAGTGCAGTGGAGCCAGAATTCAGATATCTAAGAAAGGGGAATATGTTCCGGGAACACGCAATAGAAAGGTCATTATAACAGGTAATAATCTTGCAACCCAAACAGCTCATTACCTAGTCACACAGCGAATAACACAAGAAGAACAAAATAGAGCACTGAAGGGGACAAATTAGCAATTATATATTAGGTAAAACAACTAATAAAGGTGATAGGAAACGCGTACTCCATGATTATCTCAGATTATTACAAAGTATTCCAAATGATCTTCCAAACAAGATTTCAGATTCCGTTATATTTTATACCAAAAGCAAATTACCACCTTCATGATGTGTCTTCTCATTGCTAGGTAAGTCGCAACGATTAGTTCGCTCAGTTGGTTAGGGATCAAAGGGTTGAGCCGAGTAATTTGATTCGTTGAGGCAGTCAGGTGGTTAGTCGTAGATTGTTTTTAGGGTTTCTGAAATTTCAAATTGTGTGCAAAGTGATTAGGAACTAACATATATTGAACAAATTGAAGAAACTATAAAGAGAGGACAAAATTCAGCTTCTCTTGATTTAATTTTATCCAGGTACAGTAATTATTTAAATGCTGTATGAAAAGTTTCCATGAAATCGGTGCCATAGAGCTAGTTGACAAGCTCTTGTATTTTATGAAAGTGAAAAATGAGACTATTATTTAAAATGACGTTAGCCATAATGTGAATTGTGGAGAAAAAAAAATTGACAGTAGAGTTAGTTTGAAAATAAGTACAAAAGTAACACATGACAATTCCAAAATGATTCTTCCTTTAAAGCATTATGTGGCTTTCCCACCTTAATTTCTCCTGTTACTGTATGTCTCAAGTGTTAGTACTTGATGTTGGAGATATGAAAACTAGCCAAAAAAAAAACATTAAAAAAAAAAAAACATATACAGAGAACCAAAGATTTGAAATATGAATGTTATTTATATTATCAGAGAGAAGCAATTTAATTTTGTGTTGGACAGATTTTAAATTTGATATAATTTTGACACATCGTTATATACCATGCAATTTTTAATTAGTAGAATTAAGTAATTTTCATAAAATCATGTCAAGTTTTCTGATCAACTCATTTAGATGCGTCATTTAACATTAGAATCTAGAAAGTTTAATTAACTCCCATTCTCTCCCAGCATTCTTTGAATCAATGTTCTTCATCTATTTCAAGCATCAAAACACATGCTTTTTTGTTTTTCGCCAACAATGTCAGGTTAAATGAGCATGAGGTCACTGCAGCAACATTTCATTATTTTGACGCGTTTATAAAAAAAATAACAATGGTATAATCTCATAATGTGTACTTGAGTTGACTGGTCTGAGACCATGTCCATTGCTGTTGACTGGCCTGAGACATGTCCATTGCTGTTGACTGGCCTGAGACATGTCCATTGCTGTTGACTGGCCTGAGACATGTCCATTGCTGTTGGCTGGCTGGCAGCTAGAGTCCAGTGTTTGTGTCCTCTGTCAGTATCGAACATTTTACAATCACCTGTGTAAAGATCTTCAACATTTGGCGATGTGATTAATTACTTTATGGTGCATTAAGAAGCCACATTCTGTACTCAAGCTGCCAAGAATATAGTGATATATTTATACATAGCTGTAATATTTCTAAACTCACATTCAGTTAGTACAGCTTTGCTTAATTTTAATAATTCATACTACTTTTTTTAAAAAAAAAGAACAGTTCTTACATACATGTATGTGTTAGTATGTATCTATGGTGTTCTCATAACTGATATGTTCATACCTTAATTTTTTTTTTGTTATTTTCTTTCTGGGGCAGCTTTCAAAAATGCAATCACATTTGCATCTAGGTCGACTGTACCATTCCATGTGGGGAGGGGTATGGTCTAAAAGTGATGGGCAACTAATTTCTTCAACTTGCGTTTTTTTTTCTAACAAATCTTAATTCATTGAACAGTTGCTGTCAAGGAGGTCAATTTATTTTAGAAAAGCTGCCAGCGGTTTCTAACAAGGGATTGGTACAGTCGGCAAAGATATTAGTGTGGTGGTATTTGTGAAACTTGCCCCTGTCTGCAACACTGCATTAGAAAAATATCATTTATACTGGGAGGGGAGGGGAGGGCATTATTTTTTTTCCTTTTTTTTTATTATGTGTGCTATTATTTCGTACTTGCATATAAAGCATTGTTCTATTGATCATTATTAACCCATTGATACATGATATGTCATGTTTTATTATTATTTCCTTGATGAATGTTGGAAAGGACATCATCATTGACACTGATCACTGCTCCATTGTAATATCTGTAATTTTTATTATTATTTTTTGTTATAACTCATATGCATTGAAATCATTTCTATACTACCTTGATTTTTCACTGTAAAAATTAAAAAAAAAAAAAAACACTGACCAAAAAAAAATGTTAAGTCTTTTGATCTCTGAAGATTTGATTTGTAACTAAGGTGCTAAGAAGAAATCAGTGACGCTAATTGTTTTCTATGTTTTAAACGGAGTCTTTATCATTGCAGTTTTATTTATGATAAAAAAATATTGATGATTTAGTATGCTGGTTTATTTTGTACTGATTAGTGCTTCCAGTGTTGAATTTCCACAAGGCTAACAGTCATAATCGGGAGAAGGCTTGGTTCATTTTTCTTTTTTTTTCTCATCTTGTGTAGACTTGCAATAGACAGTAGTAAATGTTTATATATATGCTGTCAGTTAGCAGAACAAGAAAGACTACTCATTGTATAGTCAGTCAGTCAGTCAGCTGTTTTTTGTGTGAATTCAATGTGTGTATGTATATCTATATATTAATGATCAACTAGTCATATCCATCCCACTCAGATCAGTCAGTGTGTTCAATATCTCATATATACATAAAACATGTTGCTGTCCTTTCCTCAAAGCCATCTCATGTGTCGTGTCTCATTCCTTCCTATACAACACATTGCATGTCATTATTTGACTTGGTCAGTGTGACACCACTACCACTGCCACCACCATGTTAAATCGATATTAGTCAAGCTTCTTGTCATTAGCAGCAAACCATTTACCATCTCACACAGGATAAAATGTTTTGCACTACTATATATGCAGCTTTTTTTTTGGTGATGGGTGCTGGGTTGGGTTGGCATCTTTTTCAGTTGGTGTGTAGTTAGCTTCATTCTATAAATTTGCATCTACCCAGGTAGTTATGTCTAGTGATAAAATGGTTGGGCATATCCTGTGTAAATAAAAATAATACTGTATATTTAGAAGCATATACCGGTACTGCCATGGGGGTTGACAAAAACTCTTGCATATGTAGCTCGAACAAGTCTGAGTACTTTAAAATGCCTTCTGCAAATTGATTTCATTTCACATGAGATAAATATTCCCAATTTTAGCGAGCCGGGATGGGGGGTTAAGACCGAGACGCATATTGACTTTTGCAAAATTTCATTTTATGAATGTTGATACATTATGATAAAGTAAAACTTTAAAGCGATAGATATTGAATGGTTTACAGTATTTTCACCACTAGGAAATTTGACTGGTGATAATTTGTCAGGAAATTAAATCAGTTTGCAGTACATACAAAAAAATGCGACTGGTTAACGTATTACCACTTTTATATGAACTTGTATATGCTTCTACTAGACAAATGTGTACATGCCTGCCATATGATCATTGAAGCATTTCTAAATTTACCTCATGATTTCTTTCCTGATTATTCAGAGGCAACTACTATTTTGTTTTGGCAGTTGTCATTATTTTCTAGCTTAGCAGCTCCTAAAAACTGGCTGTGATGTAAACATGCCTGTCTTTGCGAGCTCTACACCTTATTTTAAGCGCTTCGGGGAAATTCACACTGTTTCCAGTACTTTATAAAAAGCTTCATTGATTTTATGACGAGGTATAAATGGTGTATGCATCACATAAAATCATTTTTCCAGTTCACAGTATTTGTAAGGTCTTGTGAAAAAACTAAAGTTTGTTGCGCTTCATTCACCGATAGTAGTCTGTAATCTATGCATCATCTTGGCACAGTTTATGCTCATCAGAGTTTAGAACTACCTAGATATGCCTAGATTCTACACTGGTCAGCCAGGGAAATGAATCAGTCTGTGAGTTTTGTCAATCAACTCTCAATTCATGTCAGAAGCTGGTGTAAGGAAACAAAGGCAATGCGTTTACAATAGCAGTTGGGAAACGAGTGAAAATCCAGCCACTCATTCTATGATTTGAGTTTGAATTGACACAGCTAGAATTAAACGGCTGATTTTCATATCATCTATACGTCCTTCTCGCTCGTTAACAGGCTGGTGTGCTGTCATAAGGTGCTTTCATTTGAAATTTATTTCATTTATATTTTTCATCCAGAGCTTGGCTAGTTAGCGATAGTATCAAGACTATTCAAGTTAACATCTGCTATCCTAGTCGGTTAATCAATGTATTGGCTCAAAATAACCTCATTTCATTCCATTATACACTGTGATTCCAACTGTACCACCGACACCACCCTAACATAAAGTCACCACCTCCACCACAGCCATATTATTTCCATATGTCTGTTAACTCATACCAGTTATATCCCATCAATTGACCTTCCTTGATCCTAATAACTCTCCCAACCATCTAGGGATCGGCTTATCATTTGGTTGTCTTAATTGTTCTGTGTTGTATGCAAGTGTGTACGTGTTCTATCTGTACTTGTTACTGTTCTTTCTGTGTTTTTTTTGTAATTTGCATTTTTTTTTTTATTTGAACCTCAATACCAAATAGCCTTTCTCCTGGTGATGTGTCTAACTGCATGGCCTAACTACTTAAAAAAAAAATGAATGAATGAATGACGTTTGTCTAGAATTTCTACCTTCATTTAATTTGTTAAATGCCTCTTTAATTTGTTTTCTTATTGCACACCCACATTTCAGGCCAGATCAATTCTCTCTTCTTGCCCGGATGTCATTAACAGTCACCTTCTAAAGCCACCATAGCACACTGTAGACCATAGCTGTGCTGGGTAATCCACAGTCAACATCAGTTCTCCCGAGTCTCATTAAGCATGTTGGGGGAGGATGTCATCAGTCACGCCTGCAATTTTCATTCTGTGTGAATAATTGCAGTCACACATTATCTAATTACGAACCATCTGTATACATGTTTCGTATCAAGCTGTTTAGTTTCATTCCTTTATTTTTGGTGAATCAGTTCATCATTCCACGATCATATTGGAGCAACCACCTTTAAGCAGCTGCCACAAAAAAAATTACAGTGGTTGAGATGAAGCCACTACCACTACCACCCACTACTAACCTTATAACCTTGTCACCATTGCATGTTGCTACCAGTGCATGGAGCTGCTATTATCGCTGCATCAATTGGCCATCATGTCTACTTTGTACGTTACAAACAAATCAATGTTCGTCTTTTTATTTTTTAATCAAATCTGCACCGATCTTTTTATCTCCTAATTTATTTGTTTGTCGTTAACTATCTCCTGCAGTGTCTGCTTTTAAAATAACATCAATTCTAACAAATCTTTCTCTCCACTTTTTGGTGCCTGTTTCTATCTATATGCACATTATTAAAAACTGACCCATTTTTTTTTTTCGTATGTAATAAATTTTATATGAAATTTTATATTTGAGAGAGAGGGGGAAATGACACTTTATTTTTCTGTGCATGCAATTATCAGTTTTGTCAGTTTTAATAAGCATGACACTGTTGGGAACAGATGCGGTAGTTCCAAAGCAAGGTAAGTAATTTATTTTTGAAAAGCCTGAAATAACCGAGTTTAATAATAATATGCCATTGTTATCTACATTTCGTTACTTGTGCTTGTTTAGACGCATTTCGTTATTTATTTTTTTACTTTTTATAATTTGAGTATTGTGGCTATTATTGTCTACTCGGGTGTTGATGGCAAATTAC